GTTTTTGTTAGGCTTTTTATATCTATGTTTATGAGAGATACTGGTCTATAGCTTTCATTTCTAGTAATATCTTTACTTCTGTTGTTAGGCTAACACTGGCCTCAGAGATTGAGTTAGAAAGTATTACCACTGCTTCTATCTTCTGGAAGAAATTATAGAATTGGTTCAATCTCTTCCCTAAATGTTTGGTGGGATTCACCAGTGAATCCATCTAGGCCTGATGCTTTCTATTTTACAAGCTTATTAAATATTGGTTCAATTTTAAATAGACATAGACCTACTCAGATTGAATATTTCTTGTGTGAGTTTCAGCAGACTATGTCTTTCAAGGAATTGGTCCATTTCATCTAGATGTCCAAGTTTGTGTAGACAGCACTGTTCACTGTATTCCCTTATCACCCTTTTAAGGTTTATGCCTAAAGTCATGTTCTCTCTTACATCTCTGATCTTAGAAATGTGTCTTTTCTCTTTTTTTATTAGTTAACCTAGATAAAAGCTTACTAACATTTTAACAGAACCAGGTTTGGGTTTTGTTCATTTTCTTTTTTGAGTTCCTGTTTTCAATTCTTATGATTTCTGCCTTAATTTTTATTATTTCTTTTCTTCTGCCTGTGCATACCCACTAAGTCACTTCAGTCACATCTGACTGTTTGCAACCCCACTGACTGTAGCTCGCCAGGCTCCTCTGCCCGTGGGATTCTCCAGGCAAGAATACTGGAGTGGGTTGCCGTGCCCTCCTCCAGGGAATTCTCCTGACCTGGGGTTCGAACTCATGTCTCACACATCTCCTGCACTGGCAGGACGGCTCTTTACCGCTAGTGCCATCTGGGGAGAGCCCGTGTTAGTCGCTCGGTCGTGTCCAACTCTTTGCGGCCCCAAGGACTGCAACCCGCCAAGCTGCTCTGTCCACAGAATTCTCCAAGCAAGAATAATGGAGCAGGTAGCTATTCCCTTCTCCAGGGGATCTTCCCAACCCAAGGATCGAATCTGGGTCTCTTGCACTGCATGTGGATTCCTGAATCCATGCCTGGTGGACTACAGCTCATGGGGTCGCAAAGAGTCGGACACGACTGGGCGACTCTGTATTTATTTTGCTCTTCTTTTGCTCATTTCCTAGGATGGAAACTTAGATAATTGATTTTAGACCTTTCTTCAAATTTTAATATATGCATTCAATGCTGTCAATTTCCTTCTAAGCACCACTTTCACTAGATCTCACAAATGTAAAATTGTTTATTTCTCCTTTCAGTTTTATCAGTTTTTTGTATGTGCATATCAGTATACTACTAATAATATACCAAACTTATATTTGGTGAATACATGTCTAGGACTGCTACATGTTCTTGATTAACCCTTTTATCATTATATAATTTTCCTGTCTCCAGTTAATTTTCTTTGCTCTGAAGCCAATTTTTACATTATCTGTTTGTTCTCTTTCTTTTTTGTTTCTGTTTTCTTTTTTGCCTTCCTGTGGGTTACTTGAATGCTTTTCAGAATTCCATTTGGTTTGTCTAGAGTGTTTTTTGTTGTATCTCTCTCTACGTCTACCTTTTTTCCTGCTTACTCTAGCCATCAGATACAAATGACATCACTGCCTACTGGTGTCATCATTTTACCATTTCAAATGAAATGCAAAAACCTTACATTCCTTTATACTCCTTCATTTATAATTATCATAAATATTTTCTCTTTACACTTAGAACTACATCAGACACGCATGAAGCAGGGCAGCCAGGGCTGGTGCTCTGTAACAATCTGAAGGGACGGGGCGGGGAGGAGTGGGAGGATGGGGGGACACAAGTATACCTGTGGCCTATTCAAGTTGATGTATGGCAAAAGCCATCACAATACTGTAAAGTTGTTATCCTCCAATTAAAATAAATAAATGATTTTTTTAAAAAAAGAACTACATCAGACAGTATAGTTTTTGTTCAACCATAAAACAACTTAGAATACTCAAGAGGGAAAGGAAAACATCCACTCGTATTTCACTCTTTTGTTCTTTCTTCCTTCTTAATACTTTAGAATTCCTGCTTTTATTATTTCCTTTCTGCTTAGAGAACTTACTGAAGCTATTCTCTGACAGCAGATTAGCAGGTGACAAACTCCCTTAGTGCTGCTTCGTCCTTCTCTTCAGCCTTCCAAAGGGCCGATTCCCCTTCTCTCTTTAACGGTGTTTTCACAGGACAGAGGGGCTGGGTTGACAGCTCTTCTTCAGCACTCGTGCGTGCCATGTCCCCACAGCCTCGATGATTTCTGCTCAGAAATCCACTGCCATTTGAACTGTTTCTCCTCAACAAGTACAGTGCTGCTTTCCTTGCACCACTTTAAAATGAAAGAGTTTCCAATCCCAATTAAAGAACAGAAAGTCACTTATTCCCTTTTGACTTCTAGACCAAGACACAGCTATGTAATTACTGTCCCTCTGGGTAAGGACATCTGAGAGTCTTGAACCATGATACTAGATAGCAGTCTCACATTATACCAGTAGGTGTCACTCTATATATGATATATTAAAAGTCATTTAAGTCTCAATTTCATCCCTTCAACAAATATTGACTAAGTGTCCATTATGTGCGAGGCATGATTCTGGGTGCTGAGATTATAAAGGTGAACAAGAAAGACATGATCTTATTTTCATGAAGCTCACAGTCTAGATATTAATGAACAAATCTGCTTTACTTGTTTTCATTACAAAACTCTGTCAAATTCTATTCCAAAGGAAATTTTATTTTCCTAAGTTATTAGAGAATAACACTTAAAATAGCTTTCTGAATATATCATAATGAAACAGAATTAGAGAATCTGTGTTCAGTACAGGTGAGTGGCTCAGTGGTAAAAAAAAAATCCACCCGCCAATGCAGAAGACACAGGTTCGAGCCCGGGGTCAGGAAGATCCCCGGGAGGAGGAAATGGTAACCCACTCCAGTATTCTTGGTGGGAAATCCCATGGACAGAGGAGCCTATGGGCTACAGTCCACGGGGTCGCAAAAGAGTTGGATACAACTTCGCAACTAAAAAACAACAGGTGAGATGAATGTATCCAGTATATTTCCTAGAATTGACACAACACTTCTCTTCCAAACTTTTAAGTTTCTAAAACCCAAATTTTAGGTATCCTTCATTACAATGGAGAAGAATTAATCTTAAAAAAAATTCAAAGTTTAAAAAAAATCTATCTATTCATGTTTTTACAATAGAGACTATTACAAATTTTTAAAGATTATTTGCAAAGTTTATTAATTCCAAAGTACAGATATCTTTATTTCTACTTAGAAAAGTTAAAACACCCCCTTCTAAACACCAACATACTCCCCCAGTTAACAGAACAAAGATAAAAGTGAATTATCATTCTCAGCCTAGACTTTAGGGATTCCTCCACTGCCAACATCCTTATTTGGATAAACATGTGAGACTCATAGCTATTACCAGGACTTAAAGGTGACCCATGATTAGAGTTGAGCAATGAAAGGTCATATTTTGTCAAAATAAACAGATCTAAGAGAGGGAGCAGACCCGGTACCTCAAAAAAGTATATTTGCCTGCACAGAAATCCAAGAACTTTTAATTAATCCAAGAACTATTTAACTGTTATTTTACTTCTCTGAATTCTCAAACAGAATGTTCTTTAATCTGGGAAGGCTAGAAAAAATATGGTTAAGGAAATATTTCAGTATCAAAAGTTCTATTGCTTAGAATTCTTTAACTTCAAAATTCAGTCAAATAAATTTCTCTGAGACAAACTGATGCTGATAAGAATTTTAAAAGACCACAACAGCTTCATGTAATATCTAACCTAATATTCCTTTTGAAATACCTCAAACTCTTAGTTACTATTCAAATTACTTGAAATATATTCCACATTGTTCAATTTCAGCTGACAATCACACACATACTTTAGAACAGAAGAAGCAGTGAATGGATGTGAGGTTATAAACAATCACACACATACTTTAGAACAGAAGAAGCAGTGAATGGATGTGAGGTTACAGACAATCACACACATACTTTAGAACAGAAGAAGCAGTGAATGGATGTGAGGTTATAAACAAACGCTAAGGGCCTTCATAAAGGGTGACTGGCATTAAAGAGATTAACTTACATCTGATATTAAGGCATTTGCTTTCACTTTGAAAGGTATTAAAATAGTGGTGGTTAACCAAAAATATTTAAAACTGGCTTACTGGGTATGATTTTTCAATTACATTTGTAAACTTTCTGACTCCCCAAGTACTGTTGTTTGGCATATCTGAGATGTCACCAAATGTGGGGAAACTGGATGGCAGAGATATCTGCTATCGCAGTACTTGAATTTCAAATATAAAAATGTGTGTGTGTAAAAGGGGATTTAGTGTACAGGAAAAAGTCACAGCTCTTGGTGCTACAATCATCCTGGTTTGAATTCCAGTACTACCTTAAATAGTTCTATGTGACTTCTGGGGCAAGTTACTTCAACTGTTCTAAACATCACTTTTCCACTAAGATGCAAATAACAGGGTTGAAAAAGGATTATGTTGTTTATATTGTAAACATACATAAAACATTGTATTATGTTGTTTATATTACATAAAATGCCTAATACATGGTCTGATACATAGTAGGTACTCAAGAAACAGTACTTATTAGGAGAGCACCATTCTTTTTGACCACTAGACTGACTACACCAATTAATGCTGAACAACTACTGACTCACTAGTTTTTGTAACTAACACATGGTGTATCTTTACCTGCTATAACAGGTTTATAAAATCAAACTCTTTACTAGACTGAATGCCAACAAATAAGCACCTTCTCCTTTAACATAACATATTTTGCATGACCTTACATGAATTGCTTAGATAAAAGCTTTTTCTTTTCTGCTTTTGTTATTTTAAAGTGTAGATGCATTTGAGTCATTTTCTCCTTTTGTTTCATATCCTTAAGATCCAAAGCTTCAAAGACATAATGTCAGCATGCAGTCGATTTATTACTGAACTCTTGAAGAGACACTGAAGAATTACCTTGTCAATCACCCCAAGGACTCTGAAGGCCTTCAGCTCCTCGGCAGGGCTCCTTAGGTTCCAAGGGGGCCTTGAACTTAGTGATCCTGGAGGCTAATGGAAGATATCAAAGATTACACATCAATCAGGGAGGTACTTGAAGGAAGACTGCCTGCTGAAGCAAATGCCAGGCCAAAGGAACTAAATTTATCATAAATCACAGAATGGAAAGATGAAAGGAGGAAGTTTCTGTTTGTCTGTAATAGAAAGTAAAAAAAAATAATAAAATCAAAAATGAAGGAAATCAAAAAGAAAAAGCAAGAAAAAAGTTGCAAGTAAATAAATCATGATAACACTGGAAACAAGATTTTAAAAAGAAAAATTAATGAGCTGATACAGTTTCCAGAGCAACAATTCAATTCAGAACTGTACAGCTATAATGAAACTTTGTAACAAATGGGTAACTGAACCAACAATCAATCACAGCCTTATATTTACCCCAGAAGGCTCAAGCGTAATTTAGAAGAAAAAGACTAAAAAACAATAGATAAACTTGGGGAAAGAGGGAACATAAGTCATTTTCTCTCATCATAAAACTACAGTTCTTTAATGCTACTTTTTAAATACATGCTATGTATGTTAAAAGGGATTGGCAAATTTAAGGTCAACCAGAATTGCTAATAATGGTGAAGCATTAAGAAATTCTATCCCATAACCAATAATTATTAGAACTGAATAAGCCTAGAAAAGAAATGATTTATAGAAGAAAATGTCTTTTAACTATCTGAACACCTGTGACGTGGAAAACTTCATCTGTTCACCATAATAAAAAGTGCAAAAAAGATCAATGAATACAGAAGGGATATTTCAGTACCACTTACAATAAAAGAATAATCCTAACTTCCCATCCATTCGTCTTAGTTTCTCACTACCAGTCATGTAAAACATTAGACTAGATAAATTCCAAAGACCTTTCCATTTGGCATTTACAATCAGAAAGCAATCCTTTATTAACCTTTATATTAAAATGGTGATGCGATGACAGGACATACAAAGCCTTATTATATCTACAAAACAGACCTTTCTGTTGCCAACAATCTGTTAAAATACAGAGGAAACATTTATCACCCCACTGAGTAGCTACTGATAAATAACCTGGTTAACCAAATGTCATGACTACTGGAGCTACAGAGTTACCATTTTTGATACTTCAAGTCCTAGTGCAGCCGAACATCACTAGACAAGAAGCTCCTTGAGAACAGGAAGTATGCCTTATTCACCTGTATATTCACGGGGCCTAGCATGCTGGTTGGAAGCAAAGAGGAAGAGCAGAAAAGAAAGGAAGGAGGAAGAGAGGAGAGTGACAAGTGAGGGAGGTCACACAGACAAATTAGGTATCCTTAATAGCTAGGAAAACTATCACTTTGAGAAATTTTCTAAAAGCAGCAATTCTAATTGCTTTCAAAATATTTTTTTTGTTTGTTCTTAGGCTTAGCAAGCAAATACTAACATGCCTAAAGAGGTGATATTTTTAAAAAGATAACTCTTTACTTTTTAAAGAAACTTGAGAATCTTGGTGATAATGGCAACTCAACAGGGTAATAACAATCTTTTTAAATCTATGTAATTTCTACTTCTAGCATATGTTTCAAAAAATTATATTTTTAATATCTCACTTATATTAAGCACTCAGCTAGATGACATAAAACACAGATACATCTCTGTCTCCCTAAAGCTTAAAATCCAAGGGGAATTTTTAAGGCTAGAAAAACACTTAGTAGGGCATTTTAATAGAAATAAAACAGAAATACAAACTCTTCTCTCTTAATCTACATTATATTATTTCATCCTCATACCTCACCCTGGCCTGAGTGTAATACTTATAAGAAGCCATCATTATAATCCCACTTTACAGATAAATAAAAGGAAGTTCAGAATGGTTGGGAGTTTACAGTCAGAAAGAGCAGTGAAAGATCCCAGACTAGATCCCAACTCCTTACTTGATTGCTTGCAGTCCTTCTGCTACACAACACATTCTGATGATTAAAAATTCAGCTCTCCCTACTCTATTATCAAGGAAGAGTAAGAATTGCTCGTGATTTTTGTAAAAGGAATGGCTAGAAAATGTCATAAGAGGAAAAAGAATAATATGGCCAAACACGTCCAACATCCCTATCTCCTACTTATCCCTCTTATTCACTGATGTCATAGGATCTTTCAGTTTCCAAGGAAACTTATCAGTTCACTTTAGCAATCTCAATAACAAAGAGAGAACCACAAGCTCTCTACTGTGTCTTTCAATAAATTACCATGCCCACTATGGGCACAACAATTTAAAGGGATAAAAATTATCAAAAGACACAGTCACTAGTTTCAAGACATTTACAATTTACTTGAAGAGATAAGCTAAACACACGAAAAGTTAAATAACAGTAAAACATTTTTTAAAAATATAAGACAATAGAGATAAATCATTAGTTAATGTATGATAAACTGTGGTCTCAGAAAAAAGTGTAATCAAAGGGGATTTTAAATGTTACGCAGAAATTAGGAAAGGATGTTATACATAGGATTGGGGGAAAAAACTGGCTTGGTAGGGGAAAAAATGTTGAAATTGTAGAACAGAGGAAAATAAAATTACACATTTAAGGTTGGTTGGTTTTACTGCCTTTAACAGGCCTTGAATGCCAAGAAGCAAAGTCTGGACTATGTTCTCCAGAATCTAGAAAACAAGTTTTTGTATGAGAAACAACTCAACGAAACAGTATTTAGTAAGGTTACTTTTGCAAAGACAGGAATGGTGAAATTGTAATGGGGAAAGACCAAAGGCAAAGTGATCATTCAAGTTCTCTTTCTACTTTAACCATCTATAAAAGTCTAAGATCAGAGAAACGAACAAAGAAAGATCATGAAATAAAATCATCAATAAAAAATCCTGTATTTCTGATATGCAGTGTTTAAATTGGGTAGAATCCCTATAGATCTATTCCTTTTTTTAGATGGCAAAAGGCAACATAAATCCACAGAATTTTAAAGAACAGAAGAGGCAGAGATCAAGTCCAACATTCTTTTTTTTTTTTTTCAGATGAGAAAACTGAAAAGCAGCAAGGTTTAGCAATCTGGCTAAGACGACAAAACTAAGTAATAGATAAGAGGGGATTAGATCTTATTTATATAATTACATAACACTGTTTAAAGAAACTGAATAGATAACTATTGGGGCAGGGTAAATGGAAATATTTCTAGGCAATATGGCTTATTTCCTTAAGGAAGAAAGTAAAAATGTTACTTCTTTGTATCGGTTACAATATCAAAAGATGCCTAGAGAAGCAAAAAGTTCAATGCTAAATACAGGAGGTATGGAAGCAGGGGTAGGGGGGGACACAAGAATATGTGATAATCCACCAACTTTCAGAAGCAAAGATGGCAAGTATGTACCACTCATCTGCTCCAGCCTATGGCAGACTCTGTTAGTCCACACTCTGTCTTGCAATACAAGGCTCTTGGCGGCCACCACCAGTGAACCAGAGTTATCAGCACACACTAGCGAGACCTGTTTACCATCACTGTTTGACACTGTTTACATGGCTAAGTGAAGCTTGCCTTTGTTTTCATTTGGGTTCTTTTTTTTTTTTTTAAGTTGTTGCTTATCCAGCCCAGAGTCTTTTTTACTTGATATTATTCCCTTTTCTCAATGAGATCTATCTCAATTCTTAACAATCTGTTAGTGAGGTACTTTTCAAACTTTTAACGTGCATGCACATCACCCGAGGATTTGGTGAAAATGGAGATTCGGACTCAGTCAGTCCATGGTGGAGCCCACGAATCTGCATTTCCAAGAAGCTACCAGGTGATGCTGGGCTGCTGGTCCACCAACTGTATGTGGAATAGGGTTAGCTACTTGTCCTTAAATAACCTGAGAGTTAAGCCAGCATTATCTGGGCGGGAATACGCAGTCAAAGGCAGAAAGAAAGTTCTACAAAGAACATATCATGAATCCACACTCTGAACCATGATAGCTAACTGCACTAGTTTCTTCATCTGTAGACTTTTGGCTTTGCCAAGACTTTCACTGGCAACCTATTAATCCTCAATACTCAAAACTCGTAAACAAGTCTCTCTTAGATCACATTTCAAGCATGACTCCTAACTGCAGTCCTGTTACTGACCAGGAGTGCACCTGAATGCCATCTTTGCTTTGCCCGTGGTCTCATTAAGGGTGACACGACATTCGTTCTAAAGTATTTGCTGAAGAAGAATTGAGACATACCAGTAATACTAGTAAACAAAACGCACAACGGTGAAATACTTTCAATATCATAGCAACTATACTCAGAATCTATGAAATACTCAGGAAATGCATACATTCTACACACAGTTGTCCCTGGAACCAATACACAGGGGACTGATTCCAGGATCCCCATGAATACTAAAATGCACAGATGCTCAAGTCCCTTATATAAAATGGCGCATAACCTACACATATCCACCCATATACTTTAAATCATCTCTAACTACTTGTAACACCTAATCCAATTCAAATATTATGTCAGTAGTTGCTGGCACGCGGCAAATTGAAGTTTTGTTTTCTAGAACTTTCTAGCATTTCTTCTCCCCAACTATTTCCAGTGTGCAGTTGGTTTAATCCACAAATGTGGAGCCCATGTGTATAGAAGGCTCACTGTGTTTCCATTCATACCTTATAACTGCAAGTAAAAGATGTATTCATACTTTAGAAACTACACAATCTTTTATATCCTAAATTTAGACCATTTACTTTTTCAAAATTTCATTGATCTTGAGTTTTAAATTCCTAGAGCTAAAAATAGCAAATAAGCTATTCCATGTCTTTTACAGGGAAATCTCCTTTAAAACTACCTATTCCTAAATCATTCAAAGTCATCTACAGTTCAAAACAAGGAAAAAGAAATTCATCTCCTCTAGTTAAAACTGCAACTTTAAGTGAAAGTGTTAGTCACTCAGTCATGTCCAGCTCTTTGCGACCCCATGGACTGCAGCCCACCAGGCTCCTCCATCCATGGGATTCTCAGGACAAGAATACTGGAGTGGGTTGCCATTTCCTTCTCCAGGGGATCTTCCCAACCCAGGGATCG